CTTTGACTTTGAGGCCAGCAAGCCACTATAAAGAACTGTATTAGGAGTATTTTAAAGCACACTGCTTAAGAATAAAATAAAAAGCTCTTATAAAAAATGTTATCCTAACTGGGCAGATTTTGGATCTCTCTCGCTGGCACAGCAACTGCTGCCATTTGTAGAGCTTCATGAGACTGAAAGGAAGCTTACCTACCACGATTCAAAAACCAGCTGGGCAGCAGTCCCCAGGCACTTCATCATCAGCCCTTCCTCATGCTCCAGCTTCCTTTTTTCCCCTCCAAGTCATGGGCAGATTTCCAAGGGAAACTGCCTCATCTTGTTTCTATCCTGAAGCTCATCCACAAGTCAGGAGAAGCTTACAAAGCCTTGCAGTTAAGATTTATCACTAGAGAATTATTCTGCACAGCTCTGAACCCATGACATTAATTTTTGTTTAGGTCATTAGTCTAAATCCATCTCTGTTTACTGATTGCTTTCTCAAATAGATATTCTTTTTTTTTTTGATTCCTATGCTCTCCGTGGCCTGCTGCCTTAAACTGTTGAGATGAATAGTTGCAGTCTAAAAGACTCTGCAGCCTTACAGAAGGAGGAGAACTGTATCTTGGTGTCTGCTGAACGCCACACAATGCTGTAAAGGTCTGATGCCACCCTGGCTAGAGGTGAGGTGCATAGCACAGGAAGAGGCTGCGAGTGCTGAGGGACAGAAAGTGACAGGAGAGCAAGAGCATGAACAGGTTTCTCCAGCAGCCCTACACAACCTACAACAGGGCTCCCTGCAAAGGGACTTGAAACCTCACTGGATAAAGAACTGGGCTGGCCGCAGAGATTTCACTGCAGATAGATGATCTGTGAAAGATCAAGGTCACAAAGATATTGTTAATGACAGCAAATTTAACAAAGCATGTGGAGGCTAATAAAAACCAACAAATGACTTCGAAGAAAAGACAGAGTTGTCTGCCAGTAGTGTACTTCTGCTTGTCCTTTGGGATGCTTGTTGAGTAAGTTGTCTCTGACCAACCCCTAAGGGCAAGAAGGCAGTGAAAGTGGCTGCTCATATCAATTGATGCTGCTACTTCATAATTTATACTGCATAGTTTTGCACTGTTACTACAGTAGGAAGGATATACAGAAGAAATGCCTTGAAACACTTGTCTTCTTACTTCTCCATTTCTCCACTGGGGAAAGGGCTGAGTCAGCTCTGCTGGCGTATTGCAGCCTTCCTAGCAATACTGGGGAAGGTCTCTCAGAATCCTGCAGCTACCACCGCATATTTGTTTTGTAGTCCGAGCTCCCAGTGCACAGTCTGACAAGCAGCACAGCAACCCAGCCAGCCAGGGTCATGGCTGAGGAAGGGACATGGCAGCTGATGGGGAGACAGGCAGCCTGCAGCGGCACAAAGACACCCAGCGCCAGGCAGCTCTTGGTGATGGCTCTGCTACCTGCAGGGCTGCTCTCATGCCGTGGGCAGAGGTTGGCTGTACTGTCTGGCAGGAGCGATGGCCCCCAGCAGGCAATGTCCTGATTTTGGAAGGGGAAATTAAGCTTATCCTTTTCGGAATTAATTCAGTCCTCTTAATCAGAGCCCTAAAGCGCATTTCTCAGTACTAAAATGTCATAGTAGGAGTATTTTGTAGAATAAGGTTCTTTTTCAGATTAAGTTGCATTTTAAAACAATATTACCAATAAATTGAATATTTAGTTTATAACCAAGCATACATCTTCCCCACCCAACACACTATCGTGCCATTTCCAAAAAAAAAAAAAGGATCCAAAGTCACCATTTTATAAAAACACCTGTGTACACATGCATACCCAGGGGCCTGATCCTATTCAGCTCCCCTTGGACTTAGTCAGATTTCCTGCTCTCCAGTCCCATCCCCAGCATTACCAAAAGCCATCTGACAGGTGGTTTCGCTGTTTGGGAACTCCTGGAAACGAATATTTGCTCACACTGCAACCTTCTTTTTCTTGTTCCTTCTACTTAATGGAAGTATGAGAGGGACAAACAAGAAAACATAACTGGTTTACTTATTTCCTTCTGAAAAGATGTGTTCTTCTTTGGCTCAGGGCTCGTTAGCTGACTTTAAAACTGTCAGAAAAGTAATCTATTTTGTTCAAGCCAATTGTTGTTTCGTAGTTCTTTCATTTCTGACTCAGTTATTCCTGACTAATTACGAGTACAGTCTAATAAACTAATCTTTTTCTACCAGGAAAATAAGGAAACACTGTCATAGAGGATTCTTACTTGTTTTGACAGAAGAACAAACTAAACTGAAATCTTCCATTTGAAAAGGATCATGTTTAAACATTCTTTCCAATTTCTATTCTGGCAGCTATCATATTTTTTTTTAATTTTCCATATAGTTAACCACTTGTTTTCTGCTTCACTAATATCAAAGATACATTTTCTCCAACCTCATAGAGAATTTCACTTCATTTTATTCCATTCCTCCCCCTTTTTCTCTTTAATGGTCAAGAGAAATGGTCAGCACCTGTAGTCTTAAAAAATACACCTATTTCATATGAAAAAGTTTGAGAGAATACATGATCCAGTCTAGCCTCTTTCTCTAGAAATGTGCCTGATTCCTCACGTGCTTTTTTTTATCTTAATTAAGTGAAAATCTATTATGACTTGGGTCATCTGTATTTTCCCTCCCCTGCACCATCATAATGCACAAAATATTCCATTAACTGAACAGTCCTAGGAAAATGTGGATGATTCACACACCATCCAAAGAATGAACATGTGGCAAAGAAAGAAAACTGCTTAATACAGTAATAATAAAGTCTAGAGCAACAGAAAATCAAGAATAATCGATGTGATCTGCCTTTATGCTTCCTATTCTAATTCAGAAAAACATTTAGATGCTTTTGCACTTAATTTCTTTGAGGAATCATGGTTCTACTGTGTTTCACAGACTGTATTATCAGCAATACAATGTACAAGCAAAAATCCAGTTGCATATATTTTAATACAATGGTATAATGCTTATTTTTTTGTTTGTATCGTTATTTTATTATTGCAGTGTTTAAGGCATGTAAATTAATTCATTTCAATATCTACAATCACAACATTTTAATTTGTTGAGTTTTGCCTTTTTAAACACTGAAATAAATGAAATATCTGAAATGATGAAGTTTTCTTCATTGAAGTTGGTTCAGCTTTTATTTGGAGAATAATCTAGCCCTGCATCTGTACTATTCTGCGATTTCACACATATTACCTTTTTAATATAAATATTTTACCACCGTAAAAGAGTAATTATGAACAGATAGCAACGTCTTCATTCCATACCTTTTATTAAAACAAATAAACCTTGTAAAAACAAACTGATGAAGATGGGATGTCTGCCAACACAGCCTTAATACACACTTTTAGGTCTCTATCATATCTGTCTTGTGTTGAATGCAACTTGGTTTAAGAAAGAAGAAAGCATTTGAAACAAACTTTGAAAACATTCATAAACCTGTTCTATTTTGGGTTTGTTTGGGTTGAGTTTTTTCCATAAGGAAAAAAAAACTATAATTTTTCCTTCCATAAGGAAAAAACTATATTCAATGCTGCATGAAACAAACCTTAAAAAAAGATTGCAACTCAGTGGGTCAAAAATCACTTGAGGTTTGTTCATGTCAAATTACTTCTTTACATTTTTGTTTATTTATTTGCCTTGGTTAAATGGACAAAGAAAGATATCAGTACTATTCCAAAAGTAAAGCAGATTCAGGGAATATTAATAGTGAGCTACGAAGTCATATTCCTTGAAGAACATCGTTAGAAACCCCTTATTCTACTCCCTGTTGTCTCTGTTGGTTTAACATGCAAAACAGTAATTAAGCTTTGCTAGCTACCAACTTCACACGAAAATCTGCTTCCTCTGAAATAATTTGGAGAACTTTGCTGGTGACTTCTGCTGTGGAACTGGAACTTCACTGTTGGTGCAATGGCTGATCATGGGCAGCAGGATACAGGAAGGAGATTTTAAGTGTCCTGGCAGATGTCAAGAAATCACCTCACAATCATAAAATACAGCCAAATATGCAAACTTACTTTATGACTGGCACTCTCAGAGATTATTTCTTAAAGTTATGAATGTACTGTCTGGGTTTAGTGGACCTAATTTTGTAATGCAATATATTTAACTTGCAAAATAAGGTAAAATATGCTTTTTATAATATTTATTAATTTAGACCAAGAAAATAGCTTTTTCTTATTTAGTAATAACTCAAGCAGGAAAAAATTGCCCATAGAGCCAGCAAAACACAAACTGAAACTACTTGTACTCTCATAAAGGATTTGAAAATTATTACATTGTTTTCTACCCTCTAAATTCCCAACCAACATATCATGCCTAAAAATATTTACATTTCAATCTTGACTTTGAAATTGTGGTGCTTTCCTAAGTTTAAGTCTATATAATTTAATTTTAGCTTTTTCCCTTAATTCCATTTACTAAATTTTATCCCAAAAGAGCAACATTTCATTATCAAACAAGTTAGGAAATTTATTTTAATCCAAGTGTCCACAGGAGCATAAGGATATATGATTTGCTATATCTCCTCAAATGATTTATTTCGCAAAAGCTTAGGTGTTTTTTGATTTTTTACTACCAAGTCACTGGGAAATGATTCTTCAGAAGCAAGTGAAATAAAAGCAACCTATAACACTTTGAATCCCTACCCAGACACCAAAATTACCACACTTACTTGAAAAAGTCTCATTTCTCTTAAAATAGTGTGCTCAGTTTTTGTGAGCTTGCTATCATTTGCTGAGATACTGTAGAAAGTCCACAAATGGTCAGACATAAATAAGCACATCTTTTTTACACATCCATACAAAATATATAATTGGAAGAGACAACTAAAACCACAGAACCATGTTTGTGTGTGCTGTTAAAACAGATTTATTGTTCAAGTTTCTTTTTTAAAAAAAATCATTTATTTTAACAACACTCAGCACGATAGACAAGAAGCTTTTATGATTAAGATTAGTTCTGGACTGCTTTTCTGAAAATAAAGACTTTAGTAATTCTGCTATTTTCTGTAGCAGGTAAGCATTCTAAAATAACTTTTCATTAGCTCAGGAGAACTGCCACTTATTTGGAGTATGGATTAATGCCCAAGGAACACAGCAGCCAGAAGAAAACTTTTCAAGGCATCATGGCCAGGGACAACATGCTATTTTACCAAATGTATCTCCACTAGGTGCATGACTGGGCTCTGTGAAAGACCCTTTGCTGAAAACACATAATTTTTTGTTTTGGCATGAGAGCAGACTAAGGAAACAACAGAAGAAAAAGTTAAAAACAAAATACTCTTGCTCCAAAATGGTGATAGTCCTCTGTCTAGCTTCCAGCTGTCTTGAAGATGAAGTCCCTTATGAGTAAAAATGCAGAGACATCCCATTTTGCAAAAAGAACAGCAGCAGGACAACCCCCACTTCATTTCATTCCTGTCACTCAAAGATAAAGCACAAGGAATGTCACTGAAGCTGCCATTTATTAGCAAGCACTTCCCAAAACGGACCACCTCTAGTGTCCCATGCCTTCAACACCTCTACAATGAAACTGGAGGGCTATACTTGTTCACATACTACCTATCATTTTTATAACTTCAGTGTTATGCTGCCCAAGGATTTTCTGTTTGCTGTCTCTAGGCTGCTGGGTTTACTTGATCCATTCAACTAAGTCTCCCTGTCGAAACACTAAAAATCAGCCCAAATTAGTGTCTGTAGCATAGGGAACAGAAATAAATATCTGCTTTCTACACATATCTAGCAGGTAGGGAGGCAAAGCAAATTTTACTTTGTTCTGTCTCCTAACAAAATTTGTGTGTGTCAGTGAAGAAGCTGTATGTTTCTTTGGGAGTGTTCCTCTGGTGCCCTTGCCATTTCTTTGAGGCAGACACAGGGGAAGTAGTGGTGCTGATGAGAGTGAATCAACCCTTCGAGACGTGTAATGATTTCATAGTCAGGAAGAGCCAGGCTGGCAATGTTGAGGCCCAGCATCCGCGAGACCACCTCTCGGAAATCTGTCAGCTGCAAGATCAAACAGAAAGGAATTACTAATACATTAAATACCAAGCAAAGGGGATGCCTAGAAGAACATATACATATATATACAGATATATACATGTATATGTGCATATATACACATACAAATATATATACATATATATATATACATACACGTATATATACATATACACAAGCATTTGTATTAGCAGAAATAGCAGGAATCATCAGGAATTACAGGAATTTCTGCTGTTGCTCAATACAGAGAGCTGAAGAGGGCGGAAACAGCCTTTTGGGACATGTATCAAGTAACAAAACACGTAAACAGCTGAGGTGCTAACAGACAACTGGAAACTCCAGTGGGCACATCTCACAGCACAGGCTGAAGTGCTGGTGCTGACCTCAAGCTCCTGACCACAGCCTGCCACCATTCTCCTCCACTCTGTTTTTTTTGTGAAAACCACAGCAGAAAGGAGGAAGTTAGAAGATAGGTGGAGGTTTGGCACATCCTTTGGTCTGACCCTGACTTGGAATCAGGATGCAGCCAAAATTCAAGATGCAGCCTGGGAAACACTCATTTTTCTTCTGCGCATAACTGCTGAAAATATGTCTTATGAAAGGTATTTGGCAAAGTAATTCAAGAAACCAGCTTTTTCTCCAGTTCCAAATGGACAGTTATACACAAGTAATTGTCATCAGACTCATTCAGCAACTAAATTAAAAGCTTAAGGTCAGATGAACATGAATGCTGATTTACTCTTTTCAATTCACAGTATGGATCATAATAAATCAAACTTCAATGCCTCTTCAATGGACAATGCCTTAATACCCCATATCATCAATACACAACTGAAAGAGGAAAATGTTCCTATTTGAGGAAATATGCTTGTCTTGCTGTCTATTTGAGTGTCAAGATCCCTATTCCCAAGCATGAGAGAGACTTGAAATGTCACAGAAACATCAAAACCATCAAGAAGCCAGGCTAGAGCTCTGGTGTGGCAGCACCCTCACTCCACCAATCATGCTGACAGTTAATGGTAAGGAGGAGATACATACATTCCTGAAAGGGAGATAAAAGTACTCCCAACATATGTGTCCAACCTCAAGAATACCATGCAGAACTCTAAAGCAGTTGCAACATCTGTGAGGCAACCCCCGGAAAACAAGGTCTGTTTCAAGACTTTGACAAAGACTTTTTCAATCACAATACAAACCCTGAGGAGCTATCATGAGTTCAGAAAAACATATGGAAACCCAGACAGGACAGAAGGATTTGAGAATTCAGACCCAGCTATCTGGCTTAACCAAAGCAGTGCTATGTCTTGGATGAACTGTTGGAACAATGTAACACCAGAAACCCCCGCGCTCCCATGTATTGTCTTCAAAACACAGTCAGAAGATCACTGATATGGGACTCTGGCAGTGTGCTAGTAAGTACAATTTGGCAGAAGCTAAAGATTTTTTTAAACATCTGGATCACAGACAGAATGAGCAGGCAGCAAAGCTGGATTTTTTTCCATAGAAACTTATTGTTAAAATATCAAGGCAGCCCTCTGCAAAGAACCAGTCTTGGGATGAATTTATACAAGACGTTTATACAGCAAATCTAACTGATCCCCTGGGAGCACATTAGGGCCTGTGCTTTGCACCAAATTTCTTTCTCTAGTATCTGTTCAACTTAATTAGAGCAACTGTGAGCAAACCAAACACTACAACAATGTATCAAATGCAGTCAAATTAAACTTGATGGACTGACACAGTTTATTGATCTGACAGGATTTTGCCAGAGGGGATACAAATTAAAGCCTACACACAATCATCTCATGCTTTATTTCTGATAGGAAAAGCAGGTCATAGCTATGCTGAATGAATAATATATATGTTAAGAATTGAGTAACTTTCATCAGCAAATAACCTAAACTGGAAAACACAAAGAGCCCTTAAAGAAATCCTTAAAATCACTCATTTATTGCAATTTTAAATTCTGGATTTTTTTTCCCCATTTTAATGGAATAACACTTAGACAAAAAACTTTTCTAACTGTTATATTGTGGTATATAAAGTCCAGTACAGGCAACGCTGTATTTCAGTGAAAATGCGGATAAAAGATTGACAACAAAAATAAATTCTTCCCCATAACCTGACAAAGAGAGCCATCACTCTTGGATGCAAAAAATGCCCCACTAGCAGACATCAAACTGGCTTTTAAAACTCCAAAAAAAAGCAACAGACAATACACACTGCAAGACGCCTTTGCATGTCTCACATGGGGCAAGGTGCTCCATACATGATTAGACTGCTAAGTGCGGATATAGTACTGCAAGCACATAGAGTCATAGAACCATGGAATAGTTAAGGTTGGAAAGGACCTTAAGATCATCTAGTTCCAACCCCCTAGGGACACCTCACACTAAACCATGTCACGCAAGGCTCTGTCTGACCTGGCTTAGAACACTGCCAGAGAGGAAGAATTCACAACTTCCTTGGGCAGCCCATGCCAGAGCCTCATGACAACAACTTTTTAAAATCCTGCACTAAAACATATAAGATGTAGGGAAAAAAATAGATGAAAAATGTATTTCAGCTTTAAAAACAATGCAACATAGGTATTAAGAACACAACAGTTCTCCTGAAATACTAGAAGCTAATATAAATACCACCTAACTCTCTATATAAGACTTTCTTCAATAACAGTTAATACTTCCCAAGATAGGCACAACTTAAAGCAAATGAGAAAAATAATAAAAGATAAACATCAGTAAAGATTCAAAACCAGAGGTTTGCTATGGCAGTAAGCACTCCATTTTCTTTGCACCTTCCATCCAGTGAGCAAAACTATCTGAAGTAAAATTGGAAATTAATGCAATTTAAAGCATTAACCCAAGATATTAGGAGGTGGAGCAGAAGCCAAAAACACACACTAACGTTTAGTTTTCATGCTGCACCTACAGAAAAATAAAAGGGGTCTCATTCCAATAGAAAGAAATAAAAAATAAGGGAGGGTGGGGGCTAGGAATGGAAAAAGTCCTTATAACAAAACCATTAAAACTCAACCAAAACATTAACATTCATATTCCAAGTACTACTGAAAATAAGGACTTGAGTTAATTTCATACAAACAAAATATATTCAGATTTTAATCAGCAGTTGACTGTGGTGGTCATATAATGATGTTACCAATCTCTGTGAACATCCTTTTGTCATAAGTCATTATATATACTCTTTATCTAGGCTTATTAAAATGAATGCTGGTTATGCTGATATTTATTTATATCCAGAAATATGCAACAAGGATATATGAAGTCAGGAAAGTTTTCTGTTCACCCCACAGACAGAGGACATCCAGTATGAATATCTGTAAACTTACAGTTACTCTTGCAAAATTTCAATATATCCACTATTTCCCCACCATATATCCCTTCTAGCAATCTCTACTTTTTTGACTCTTCATGTAGAGCTTCACTTCTCTGTTTTTCACTCTGCAGTATGATTTAATAATGCTTTCAACACAGGGGGTTTTATTGGTTTTATATGTCTGCTCAAGAATATGCACACTTGGCTGCTATTCGCTACAGCCACCAGAGCTGACCATTAGTCCTAAACCAGGCTGTCATTCTGGCTCATAAGCATGAGCTAAAATTTCCTTCACAAAAGTTTTCAGCACAGCTGGATAGCTGCTCCGCCTATACCACCACATTCTTATATTCTATGACAGCTAGCACTTGTCAAATACTTATACACCTACCTGTCTCTCCCTTTTTGCTAATTCTGCAAGGGCTGTTTTAAGCACCTTTATCTCACTGGTAACCGCTTCTAACATATTTTTGTTTTTTTCTTTATCTTCAGTAGCTTTACGCTCCTTTAAAAGAAGTTCTGATTTGACAGAGGTGAGTTGTTTCTCAGCCTTTTCTTTCATTCTTTCCAATTTGCCTTGAGATTTATTGAGTTCTTCTATTGTTCTGTTCTGCTCCAAAGTTTTAATCTGCAGTAACATAAAGTACTGTCAAATTTGTCAAACTTTTCCACCTACCACAAGCATATAATAAAAACTTCAGGAGTAGTTATGAATAAGCATTTTAATGCAGTTTCTTATGGGTTCTTGTTGAAATCACATGTATGTGTGTACTGAAAAGCTGTTAGAGGAGACTGGTCAATTTTAACTCAACAGATTTTCAATTCAAAAACAGTTAATTCTCTGAAGGTTTTGTGAAAAGCAGTAACTAGACACACAATAACCCACAGTGAGAGTTCACACTCTGCTAGTATGAAAAAGAGTTGCCAAATGTTTTGCTGGTAAAAATTCTTGGAACATGCACCTAATTATCCATTTCATTCCATCAGCCACAAGACACAAACTCACATAAAATCAATATTCTTTTCTTCCAGCAGTGGCAAGCTACCAATGACTGAACACTACTTGTGTTCTTGAACACAAGAACAATGAAAATTTAGCACCTTGTTTTATGCAGGAAAACCTCTTCCCCCTTCCCTCCATACTTATCAGAGTAGATCTTCTGTGAGCAATGTATGGGAAAATGTAGGATTATAGTCATATCAACAGGACAGAAAGGGATGCATGTAATGTATTTTTCTTATGCAAGCCCAAAAATTGACATTGTGCTTTATAGATTCTACTTAGTATAACAAGACAAATTGCAAAATAAGAAAAAATATTAAAAATATTAATATTTAATATTGTATTTGCTTTCTCCACCTACATGGTTTTGAGCCGTGTTCCATGAACACACTTACTTTAAATGAACTCCAGCTGTATCTAACTGGAATAGAAAAATGAACTGAATCACAAAAGTAATCTTTTAACTCACCTTAAGTTCATTGGTTTCAGAGAGCTTGGCTTTGAGATCAGTGTTCGTTTCCCTTGCCAGATCAAGCTGCTTCTGTAACTTCTCTATCATCTTATGTAACTTTCTGACAGTGAGATTGGCCTCATCCCTCTCTACAGCTAAGGCGGTCCTTACTTGCTTCTCCTCTTCCAACTGGGTTATTTTCTGCCGCAGAATGTTCATGTGCAGCTCTTTGCTTTCAAGTTTTTCTTTCTGAGTCTTCAACTAATTTTCCAAACACAAGGATATTTGAAAAGATAGATGTGAAAGACAATGGTACTACACAGATCACTTTGTAAATTTAATCCCTGTCTTGTATATTTAACTTGAACTCCTATTCCTCTCTTGAAAACCCTGTAAAGCAGTATAAACACATATACAAAACTTGATACCTTTTATATTACCAATTTATTGTGCTTCTCTATCCCTGAATTTGTGCACTACCTTTTAGAATGAATTTATTTATGGACTGCACCCTATTCGATCATTGTGCATCATTTATAACATCTGACATGGCCTGAAGTATAGGATGCTAGTCAAAAGCAAGAGGTAAGAGAGACTGATTAAAGAAATAGTGGTTTCAGTGGTGGCAGTTTAAGATATTTCCATCTTTAATCACTTAATTAATGCTAGTGTGCAAGAAGGAGAATCAACATACAGAAATAGAAAATCTCTAATCCACTGCTCTCATCCACTGGTGGATACAACACAAGGTCCAGCAGCTTAATTTTGTAACTATGGTGCTCAGGGAGCTACCCATTTTCAAAAAAGCCTGAGCTGAGCTGTCGGGCTTTACTCTAGAACTTCTGAGGAGTATTAACATACATACTATACCCCTCCTAAAGAGCCAGTTGCATCCAGAGAAAACACAGTGTTGTTTTAAACCTTAAACAGACCTAATTCTAAGCTCTAAAACAATCTGATAAACCTAAAACCTGAAGTTTTCACTTTTTCATGACAAAGGGGCACAGTCTTGTTGAAAATGTTGAAATTCCTGGTGAAGTACAACCTACCAGATTCTAGAGAAGTTTGTGTAAGATGCCCCCCTTCCCAGATAATCCTTTTATATTTAAATGTCAATGGTAGTTGTTTAAAGAAATATATTATAAATGTGTATTAAAAAGTATATATATATACACATGAATATGCGTAAATTCACACATTTATATAAGTTGTGAAAAACAGTATTATGTATTTAACTGATTTGTGGGTTTAGTTGGTTTAATATACTCTCTGCACAGTTTGCAAATGTTTGGGTTTTTTTTTAATGGAATGGACATCTCTGAAATTCCTTGTACATACATGAAACACCAACCTACTTCCTCTAGCAAGCCACCATAAAAATATAACCGTAACAATGCTTATCTTTGAAACAAACAGTAATAACATGCCTTTTTTGCTTACCTTCCTTCTTAGGCTATACGCCATAGTCTTGTTTTCAATCACTGCATCACCTTCCAGTTTCACTAACTGTTCTACCCGGGCTAGAATTGTGTCCACATTCATATCAAATCCAACTTCTGCTGCTAGGCTATCCAGCTTCATCTTCTCATTAAGTTGTTCCAGAAATTTCAGGTACTAAGATAAGATGTGGAAAAGTGGGTAAAAGAATAACTTCATTAAAAGTCCTGAAGTACAATTTAAAAGCAGTTCCCCTTACAGTAGCAACCAACTATAGCTAAGTCTACTATCCACAAGAAATAGGATGCTGAAATGGTATGTTTATAGTACACACTCCCAACACAACTGCAAATTCTCCATTTTTCCTTTTTTAGTCAACAATTATTTTGTTCATAAATCCCCGGACCTACTGTATTTATGTTGTTAGCAAGACCAGATTCTTTTTTTTGCTCCTCTGCAGTAAGAGCACTAGGTATGTGTGTCTGCTTTTGGCTCCAGTTCCTGTCTGTGGCTCTGATGCTGTACATGGCCATTGGCAGGGGGAAGTTTTTAAGGACAGGCACATCCTAACCAGTTACAAGTGCTGTGGCTGCTCACTGCTGTGAGCATTAAAACAGATAAAACTGGCACCAGGGATGCCATGGGTGAGATACAATGTAGTCTGAGGAGACACAGGAATGTCAACATGGTCAGTCTTTTGCCCTTCTTTGGAATATCAAGTTTTAAAGATAACAGTTAATGGTTTTCAAATTGCTTTAGAGATTATTTTAATTGCATCTCCATTTGGTTTACTGATGTGAATACATACAGATATAAAATACTATTTAATCTGTTTTTTTCCTTATTTTGTCCTGCCCTACTAGCTCTTTAAAAATTATATTCATTCCCTGGTCTCAATTAGCCTCTTTTGCAAAACCCAAAGCTGTCTTTCTCACTAAGAATTATGTTTGCCTACTTTTGTTGCAGCCCATAATCAAAAAAACAACACTACAAACTATTTCCATAATTGTTGCTAGAGCCCAAGACAAAAAAAAAATAGCGAGAATCTCTTTTCTGCTTCATTATGCTTCTGGTTCAAAAAGTTAAAAACAGCAGCAGAAGAAGAAAGCACTAAGGTTGTTCATTAACAGAAAAAAAAAAATCATTACAAAAATTTCTCTATTGCAGCAAAATCTAGTGAGAAATTAAGAAGCCAGGATCACACTTTCTTTACAGAGGGGGCAGAAGGGAAGGATCAGCTCCATTTTCTGATTTGCTTCCGATGTGGTGGGTGTTTCATTCATAAAAGTAATTGTATTATAGACAAATGCAAAACAGCCAGCACCAAATTGTTGGTTCTTTGAAAATTCAACTTTCTAAGCATTGATCTTGGCCTGGTAACATGCTACAACTTTGTCTTTCTTCGCTATATGGGACTGCTGGTTTAGCTTTCCAGGTACTATGTCATTTTCACAGTCTTGGTATGTGGATGTGTTACAGACTAACAGTGTGTTGATTCTTACAATTAGTAAAAAAATCCTGGTAGTCTTGATAGTCTAAGGATATAAAAGAATCAAGGATTGAAAGACCTTGAAAGAGTGCAGGCCAGATGATATATTAGACAAAAACTGAGACATCAGAAAAAGCTTTGAGATCAGAGGAACTTTGGAGGACCTCTGATATCTTCACAGAAACTTCTTTTAATCCAGTTGGGATTTTTTCACATTTAAATGAACTTTGAACTCAGAAGCTTAGCTACTTTTCTAACTAAAACTGCTGGTTAAAAAAAAGATATTATACACCCTACATGATGCCTGACTTTGCTAATTCATATTACTTGCAGTACTTTGAGTAATATTCCTGCAGATCAATGCAATGCAATTAGCTGTGTCTCTGTCTTTAGTGACTTTTGTGTCAAAGAAAATAATGCATGCAACTACTTTTTGTTTCTCAAGCTTCAAGCCATCCTGCATCAGATCTACAGAGAGTAATTCCTCTTCCAAGTGTTTCAGTTGATCCTGGAAAGTCTCAGAACGTTTCTCAGCTTTCCGGCTCTGCTCCATAGCTTCTTGGTACAATCTGGTTTGATTTTCCAGAGCTTCAGTCAATTTAGCTATTTGGGTTTCAAGCTGAGATACCACCTAGGGAGTAAGGAAACCAACAAAATATATGCAGCTAGGTAAGTATGGAAAGGTTAGAAAGATATGAAAGATGCATCTTCAAATTGTTAAAAAGAGGGTAAAATACCTGTCTTTAAAATACAAGCATTTAAAATGCAAGCATTTAAATCTGCTGTAACAGCAAGGAGAAAATGGCAGAAGTGATAACATGTGAGACACCCAAAAGTGAACCTCAAAAAACACACTTAAGACAACTGACTAAAAGGGTCTAATATCCATAAAAAGATAATACAAGCTAATTTATACACAAACTTTCCAGAGATGATAGCAAAACAGGCACACCTGGCAGTCAACTAACACTCTTCAAAATAAGCCAATAAAATCATTAGTCTATCTAGGAGCTGAATGGAAAAAAACAGTTAAGTGGTTTAGAAAATATATGCAGTATGTAGGTAGACTGTAGATATGGATAACTAAGTCTCAGAGGAGTCATTAACTGTTAAGGGATGTTTAACTGAAAGATTTTGCCAGAAAAAAAAAATACATTAATATTAATTTCTGTAATCTAGCAAGAGCCCAAGGCTAAAGGATAAAATCCCACAACACAAAACTAGATTCACAACTAATGTCTGAAAACATTTCTAGCTCTACAGTGTTAACTTTGCAACACCTACACATAATGCCATGGTTGTTAAATTGTAAACTATTTCTAAATTAAATGCTTTAAAGCATATGATTAGCGAATTCTGAAAGACAATTCTATCAAAAAAGTTGCTTGCTTCCTTCCCTCTTTCCCCTTTCTCCTCTTCTTACTGTCACATAATTATTGGGTTATGCAATTAATTACGTTGCATTTGTAACTCAGTGTTCAAACACTCATCTCCATGCAGTCTCTTCATTTTACACATCTGTTTGCCTCCTGTTAATAAAATAAACAATAGGCATACAAAACTCCCATTAATTTTAATGGCAAAAAAAGTTTCCCACTTAGACTGCAATTAAATATGAACAATAGTTTGCACCCAGTCCGCCTAAAAAAACACTGAGAGATTACTGCTGCTCACACAGTGGTAGAAACACTGAACAATAATAATGCTGCAAGAACACACATATTTTGTGCTTTTCTGCATGATATATCTCTCAGCAGGGGAAAGAAAAAAAAAAGAAATAAAAAACCTTCAGTAATCCACAAGTCTTGTGCTGCTGCCAGAGAGCCCAGAGTCCCTTTACCAGGCTGCAAAGCAGCCCTGGGAACAGCCCAGCCGCATGGGTCTTTGACAGGCTTTAAAGATCCATAAACATGAGAAGGTGAGGCATCATACCACAGGAGGTGAGACCACAAAACCACCAGACTGTCAGTTTATCTTCCAGAGCATCCTGGAATATCCTTCATCCTTGGCTAAGGGACAATCAAGAGCTTATGGATTTCCTAAAACAGAGTTGCACTGTTATTATCCATCCATACCTGTATCCAAAGACTTACAAAGGCTGCATTTTTGGTCCTGCAGTACTCACCCCCATGATTTTCTGTGCCTATGACTTGTGCAGTTTGATCAGCCAGCCTGCAAACAAACACTGCCTGCTTTTTGTTTTAATATGGCTAGCAGATGAACTAACACCTTTTATTTCTTGTATTATAAGAAGCTGCGAATGCTCTTTTCCAGAGGCAGGTCCTCCCTTCAACACCACCCTGCTGCAACTAAATAACCCTCACTAAAATCTTGCTGACCTTTTTCTCTCATAATAAGCTTTTAGTAGTGTAGCCTAGTCAATTTTGCATTAAGAGTCTGTACATCAATATGCAATGACAAAACCTGATAAAATTAAGGCAATGTACAATCAGCTGCAGGTAGTTAAGAGAAACAAACACTTTAAGCTATATGAATTTTAGGTGCTGCCACAGGTCTGCAACAAAACTTGTCAAACAGAAAGGACCTGAACCTGACCCTCATAACCAGGACCATGCTCTGTATGAACTGAGAACATTTGCTTGCCTTGGACTCCAGGTGCCTGTGAATCCTTCCACTATGTTACAAATGATAAATGACCAACATACCCAAGAGCTGTCCAAACATATTCCAATGATACACGTCTTACAATAACTGCTGAAAAGACCATTAGGACACTGATACAAAGCATTTACTCAACCCTGAAGTAGAATACCTGTCACTGGACATTGTGAGAGTAGATGTGATTTATTTTTTTAATGTTAATGCTAAGGGCTAGTGTACACACTACAACTAACTCAAATGCCCTTCAGATACCAAAATCATTGTTATTAGGAGACATAATCTTCAAGAGCATTTCAGATTTCACAGAAATTCTGACTATAGCAGTTTCATAGAAAATATGACTACAGCAGTTGCAGTGAATTATTTTCTCAAAGGCCTTTTGAAATATTTTTCACAGCTTATTCTGACAGGTGCATGTGCAGAGGTGAACCAGACATATCTGCCCAGGTTTGGATGTAAAGATGAACATTTTGTCAGTTCATCTAGTATGCAGTCCTCTGTACAAAATTCCCAGAGGAGATGCAACGATGATTTAAAAATTATAAACCAAAACCTGTTTAGAGAAGACATCAAAACACTCAGAGAGGATTCTCTTTCTCCCATACTCTTGCACTCTTTTCCAGATCCCACATACCTAAATTGCAAAGGCAAGCTGTCTGCAGAATGTCCTGACAGAAACCATACAATCTTTACTCAGGGAAAGAGAAGACCTAATTGTAACCCCCTTCCTGTTACACATTAACACATTCATTAGCACATGTTTAATTTCCAACAGCAAGGCAGCCAGCTGCTGGATTCGTAACCCTAGCTGTCCTGGCATCGCTGCTGGATTTCAGCCACAAAGGGACTGTTTTGAAACAAGCTGGCTTGGGCACCAGCAATACTACAGGCTGATTAACCCTGCCAAGATGTTTTTTGACTCACTTGTGTACGTCTTTTACTTAAGGTTGCTCAGTTTTCTGAAAGATCTATCTAAGGAAGAAATCCTATCTGAAGACAATTAATCTTTTTCTTGATTGATTGATAGTAAAGCATACATATCCTAACACTGATGTTGCATCCAAATCCTGGAAAAAAAAAATCACTCAGAGATGCAATAGGAATCTGATTTACAAATATATACCAGCATGTATATTCCTTATAAATAGAACCTCAGAATATGTTGAAGTGGGTTTGTGTTTTTTTAGTTCTGATTAGCAGAAGGGAAATTAGCTCAATGCAAAACAGCTTTTTGATGACAAAGTCTATGCTCTACTAGAAACGGATTCACAGATGCATAATACTGGCATTTTAGCTTAGTTATTTCAAAGCCCCTAATCTTAATACAGAAACTCTTCTGAGAATAGATGCCAACATTGCTTTAGTAACAAAATTCCCTTTGGAGCCATGCAAATATTTTTCAAAATGAGACAGAGCAGTAAAACATTAAAGCTTCATCACTTAACATACTTAGCAAATACAGTGATCAACAAAGTTTCACCATTCAGCTTCAATGAACAAAATCACCAAACAATATTAAGTTTAAAGTTAACATTTATCATTTAGGAAACTGAGCTACGATTATTTTCTTTTATTTTTTTTTAAGGAAGAATTAGCATTTTGGGTTAGCATTGCTAGAAGCATAGCAGGTGATTGCTGTATTTGCTAGCAGAGGCAGAATGCTATGCTAGACCTACCTGACATAGCTCCTTTATTATATAAAAATAAATCAAAAAAAGGTGGAAACTGTTAGACCAGCATCTTTGTTCCAAAGCACAGATTTAGGCAGCAGCAGATTGCAGTTGATAATTGCCCTGTCTTGTAATAAAGACTTTCTTTTAGCACATAAATTTAATTTTGATAGCAATAATACTGAAAACTAAATCTATCTTCATCCTCAGACACGCACACTCACACCCAAAAAAAAATGTTATTTTCCATTGCAAAAGTTAACAGGTCTTTCAGTGGAAGGAGAAGCAGGTTATAGCAAATAAATGAATTTTAATACGGCTATGGAGGAATACCTGGTTTTCTGAACACTAGTCTCTTTACCTCTAAAATAAGAATAATCACAGCTGTTTAGAAAAGGATCTGTTGATTAGTGTATGTTTTACAGTAGCTCTCTCACAGAACACAACTTTTTAAATCAATGCTATTACTTGGAGAACAAGACAAGTTCTTCTCAAGCAGCTGAAAAAGTCCATAACTGCAACAAAATAAAGACCAATCCTCCCAATACTACCCATCTGCAGGATGGGCAACCCAGAATATAAGCTAATATTAAGGAACAAAATCAGGAACAATAAGAACTGAAATAAGTACCACACACTATGCATGTACTGCAGTATATCCATAAAAAGACTAACAGCTGCTCAATATGGTATGCAGACTTAGCTGCAACTGAATCTTACAAAAGCAGCAGGTCACCTGAAAGTATTCCCAGAAGCAAAACCTTTTTAGTCAATAGCTACTTAAATTTCCCCTTCTCAGCAGTCCTCAGCAGTCTTCAACATAATCAACATCTCAACAGAGTGTATTATATGCCAAAACACCAAACAGTGCAAACACAAATGCACATAAAATTCTTATTAGATTTCAATTTGAAAGCATTTTGCTTATGGAAACAACAGTCCCTGACATATAGCAAAACCATATGTAAAGAGCTTCCATATTAAAAAGTTCCTGACACACTTCTACTTCAGTGGATCTCTTTCAAATATCAAGAAATTTCACAAAGCTTGCTTTCATTGAAATCTGGCATACTGACTCTCAAACTAAGGTATAGGGGAGCTGGTTTGTATTTTTTAATAAAATATCTAATCAAATTGCACAAGGATATTTTCAAGAGTTATTTCTTCTTGCACAGAAAATAAAAAACATTTGCTAACATAAAAAACTATCACATCAGCAGGAGATGCTAGAATCTTAAAATCTGTAAAGGAGAAAGAAATTGTTTTTCGGTGACTCAGTGAAAACAACTTTTGATTTAGTGGGTGACTTTTAATTGCATAATAGGGTTTACTGACAAAATTAATATATACCCATTTGAGAAAGTGCAGTGCAGTGTCAGAATTCTGACATTGGTCAGACTGCATTTTGGCTTGCCTTCCTCCTGAGCTGTCCATTCTCTACCTGTACACGCAAACACATCTTTGCAAACACTACAAGCCCGAATGCCTAGAGCCAAAGCATTAGAATACCCACCTGCCTTCCTTTTGCCTTTCTCCTGTATGGTGAACAGCTATGGTTTCAACAATGTTTAAATGTAAAAGTACTTTTTTCTTTTTAGGTGCAGGTTTTCAGGATTGAAGAGAAAGAAGATGCCTGGGGCAACTCATCAATTGTATCAAATTTGAGAAACAAGTCGGTCCTTGAAGTCACTATTGTGTCTTTTCTTGTTGGCAGTATCTATTATTCATTTCATTTCATTTCTGACTCCTTTCTATCTAATAAAACATAGATGTTTTTCACCTATTATCTCAAATCAATAGACAACAAAAATTAAAGATTTCTGTAATTCAAAAATCTGCACTGAAGGAACCAACATTTTAACAGATTAATAAAATTAAATAGGATCCAAACAGAATAAATACACAAGTTGGGTGAGTACACCAGTTGCTAACTTACTATTTCTTTGCTCTCCTCTTTGCAATTTATTTCTTGGATCCTCTCCAAAATGGACTTCTCTGAAGGTTTAACTGCTGCAGATCCACCACTGAGTAGGGTAGCAATTTGCTCTTTAAAAGACATCAAAGAGCTCTGAGCAGTCCTGGCCTCTTCTCTGCTGCTCTTCAAGATTCCATCCAGCTCATTAGAAGATTTCTTCAGATTGTGCAATTCCCACTTTGAGGCATCTAAAGCTTTCTGGTTAGCAGTCAGTTTATCTTGGAGGTTTCTGATCTCCATCTCCAAACTCTGTCTCCCTGTTATAGCACTGTCAAGATCCTAAAATACATGAAAGGTTAAACCAGTGTTTTAAAATTTGTTATAACCCCCTCCATAAAAGCAGGGAATAACTCAGAAGCAGGTACTGTAGACAGAGAAATTTAGACCCATGCTGGTCATATGGGTCAGCCTCAGGGCTTCATAGGAGAACTCCTACTGAAACTAATGAAAGCCCAAAGCCTACTGTAATCACACTATAGACTAACCCCTTGCTGTGGCCTGCAAGAATGAATACGTGAGTAAAATTTTCAGGTAAACACAAAATAAGTTTTTATTGTAAAACTACTACTATCTTATTTTTTCATTCAGATAATATGATTTAGAGAACAAATGGTGAACAAGATGCAATGCAAATAAAGTACTACAACTCAGAAGGGATAGGATAGGATAGGATAGGATAGGATAGGATAGGATAGGATAGGATAGGATAGGATAGGATAGGATAGGATAGGATTTTTCAGTTGGAATAGGCCTACAATGATCACCTAGTCCAACTGCCTGACTAATTCATAGCTGACCAAAAGAACACAAATGAGCTCACTGAATACAGAAGAATTAGAGGTGATCTCAGAGATTAGTTTACCTGAATGTGACAAAAACTCCTGAGATTATTTATACACAGAAATGGAGACTGAGAGGCCAAAAAAAAAAAACAATCATGATGTTAAAGACAGCCTAAAAGAGGGTGCAAGTGCTCAAATACCAATTTCACCTCAAAGAAGATATCCTTAAATTGTGAAACACTTGGAAAAAATTTCAAAAATGGAATTATTCAGACCTACGTCATCTTCTGAAGAAAGTAAAATCCCTATTACCATAAGGTTGAATTTGCCCGAGTTGAATAGCAGAAAGTCAGTGAAGAGCTACGTGTCTTCCTACAGAGCCTACAACATCCCCCATCTGCTGGTCAGCTGGACTGTCAGTGTGCAAAAGCCAACTGGGGAAGGACTAATGGGATGGTGTCTCTACCTAGTATCCTTGTAAGTTGGTGGTTTTTTTTAAGTCAGTCTCCTGCATTTCAGAAGTAATACACTCAAAAACAATATTGTCCTCATCAGGAAAACACCTGACACCCATGATCCTCTTTTCCTAAGCTCAGAGGTTTTAAAACCTTCTGATGAATCAAGACTCCATTTGGAAAGAAAAAAACAATAGCCAGCACATATATATCTACATCAGTTGCATATGAAATATTGACCAAACAGGGCAGAGCAGACAGACAGAACTGTGTATCCTAGCACATGATACAAAAGCAAATGATGGTAGAAAAGTTAAAGAAAAATAACTCATGTAAACATAAAAAAAAAATCTCTCTCATGCAGTCAACTTGTGAACTTCTTTCCTTTCCCCACAAAACCAATAATAAGAGTGCTTACACATTCATATGCAAGAATAAAATTTGTGGTGAAAGCAACTAATACTACAGCAAAGACTGTCTTCATTCTTCAGGCTATTACCTGATTGCTAGGAACAAACGGGAAAGAATATTACCTCACACAAGACACAAAATTATGCCAGAGGAGCTCATATTTATAAAGAGCCATTGAATTTCTCTGAAAGCTGCAGTTGTTTAGCAGTGTCTCAGTAAGTGGATTGATAAGAAATAAGATTGAGTACACTGGTGTTAAAGAATTGTTCCCAGTGCAATTGTGAATATGGTGACCAATTGGCAATCTCTCAGGGTCTACATGTGCTTGCTGTGTAGCATAGTGAGTCATTTGTATTGATGGCATACATGGCAATCAAGTAGTAAATCTGGGAGTATTTATGTAGATCAACAGTGAGGGTGGACAAAAAAGGAGTTTGGGTGGTACATTTGGAAATGAAATATAAATATACAATACTAAAAATACTAGATTTTTAAAATAGCTTCAAAAAGGCAAACATGCAAACACATAAGTGAAAATGAACCAAAACAAACCCTGCCATTTAGGAAATTATTCGTTACTAACCCTTTCTAAAGTAATTGCAGAACTCTCTTGGGAACAAATTTTGGCATGATTCCTTGCCATTTTCTCCTTTTAAATTCTAAACTGGTCCTATTAATAGCAATTTCCCACCTGTGCTCAGAATTACATTATGGTAATTACAGCAAAGAAGAAAGAGTCATTCATTTCAATTACAGTTTTCAGCAGTGTGCATTTTTCCTTTCAAAAAGGCTGTGCAAGAGTAGTTGCAAGTACCAGGGAGTTTACCTAATTATATAATCTTGTTTCAAATTATGAACATCTGCAAACAAACACAGTTGAATCAAAAGAGCTAGACCCGCATCATTGAACAGTTCCCAGAAATTTAGAGACTGTGACATGTAAAGATGGCGTCCCAACAAGAAGCAAACCCAAGAGCCTAAGTGATCAATGCAAGCAAACAACTTCCACCACAGAAGACTGAGAGGGTGAAACCATGACAGTTCATGTTTTTTCCTTCATTCCTCAACATTTATGGCAAAAGTCCCACAGCTCTGAATTATATGAAGGTTTTGGTATGCATCTTGTACGATCACCTGCTGGCACCCTACCTGCTCTAGACTAGAGAAGATATAGAAGTAACCGGAACATTACACAGGATGTTGGCAAGGCCTCTTTCATGAGAAATTATGTGTTCAATATTAGGACAGCTGTGTTAACAGAAAATGTGTTTAAGCTGTAACAGGTGAGGAAAATTACTTCTGTCTTTTAAGCAGAGAGGAGTCTTTAATAAGGGATGGCTAAGAGGGCTGTATTTAACACTCCAAAACAAAATGAGGGAGATGACCGCATTAAAGAGGCAAGCAAATGAAAGATGAAAAAAGAAGTGATAAGGTCTTTTATATAATAATACATACAATCATAGAATGGTTTGGGTTGGAAGGGACATTAAAGATCATCTAGTTCCAACCCCCTTGCCATGGGCAGGGACATCTTCCAATAGACCAGGTTGCTCAAAGCCCCATCCAGCCTGGCCTTGAACACTGCCAGGGATGGGGTATCCACAACTTCTCTTGGGCAAACTGTCCAGTGTCTCACCATCCTCATAGGAAAGAATTTTTTCCTAATATCTAACCTAAATCTGCTTTCTTTTAGGTTAAAGCCATTCCCCCTTATCCCATACCTACATGCCCTTGTAAAAAGTCCCTCTCCAGATTTCCTGTAGACTCCCTTTAGGTACTAGGAGGCAGCTCTAAAGTCTCCCTGAAGCCTTCTCCAGGCTGATCAACCCCAGCTCTCTCAGCCTGTCTCCATAGCAGAGGTGCTCCAGCCCTCTGATCATCTGTGGCCCTCCTCTGCACTCTCTCCAGCAGGTCTAGATCCCACTTATATCGGGGGCCTCAGAGCTGGATGCAGTACTCCAGGTGGGGTCTCATGAGAGTAGAGTAGAAGTGGAAAATCACCTCCCTTGACTTGCTGGACATGTTTCTTTCGATGCAGCCCAGGATACAAGATGGCTTTCTGGGCTGCAAGCGCATACGCTGGGTCATGTTGAGCTTCTTCTCAACCAGAAATAGTGTGTCTGTTCAGCACTAGAGAAGTGATTGTCCTCCTGTGCTCAGTGCAGGTGAGGCTGCACCTCAAATACGATGTTGGTTTGGGCCCCTCACAACAAGACACTGAGGTGCTGGAACACATCCAAAGAAGAGTAATGAAGTCGTGAAAGGTCTTGAGCACAAGTCTTACGAGGAGTAGCTGGGGAAACTGGGTTGTTTAGCCTGGGGAAAAGGAGGCTCGGGGGAGACCTTATCACTCACTGCCACTACCCAAAAGGAGGTTGTAGTGAGGTGGGGGTCAGTCTCTTCTCCCAAGTAACAAGCAATAAGAAGAGGAAATGGCCTCAAGTTGCACCTCAAAAGGTTTTGACTGGCTATTAGTTAGGAATACTGGAAAGAAACTTGGCTAGAGCAAATAAATACAATGTTTTTTAAGGACCTGCTTTCTCAAATGTGGCAGGGTACGTTGTGGTGGCTGAAGCTTGCTGAAGAAGACTGCCAGAACAGTGTGATGGCCTCTACACACTTAAAGAATGTTATAATTCTGTAATTATGATTATCACTTATCAATCACTTATTAATCACTATCTGGACATACAGAAAGAAAGAACAGGTATTCTGATTCTGAGTCTAGAAAACTGAGCAGCATTCAAAAGTTATTTTTATATCAAATGCAAATTTGATACCCAGCACTGCCAGAATAAAGGTATGCAAAGTATTTGCAGAATTCCAGAAGCAAGCTCTTGCAATATTTGGTCAGAAAGCTGAGACGTTTAGAATGCTAACAGAAAGTATATTACAATGAAACAGCTTGGTGGCTTGCTTTTGATACTTATATGACTTTTGAGACTGCATTGGTTTCTGTTCTTTGCTGTTCATTACTGTGATGCAGTGAGGCTGAGAGGGGAACAGGTGAAACTATCATTCACTTGTCAATGTTCTTCAAATGAAAACCAGCTAACTGCAACAAATGCTCAAGCATCAAATACACTAAAGGAGACTAAAGGGAATTACCCCCACTTACTAATCTTAAAACATAACCAACTGGCTTTCATTTTCTTCATTGAGAATTTCAGAATCTACAATCTGTTTAGGAGACCTTTAGACAGCTGCCTCCACCCTAGACATAAAGAAAGGCATGTGGTCAAGAAAGAAAGTTCACAGAAATCCAAAGGAGCAGGAGTGAAGAGCTACCTGGCCAGAAAAAAATGATTCAGAGGTGGCAGGGAACAGCGTGGTGACTGAGGCCTGCTGGAGAAGGCTGACAAAACTGTGGGATGGCCTCTATACTCAGGAAAAATTTTGAGAGAAAACTGGGGAAACAGGCTGCCATCTCAATCTGTAATACAGAAGATGGCCAACATGTTTGGCCCTGGAAGCTTCAGGCAAATGATGGCAAGAGTCACTTGTACTTGGTCTGTGCTGGGTAAACTCTGCTGCAGGCAATTCCATTAATTAAAGCCCAGAAAACAGTCCAGAAACACACCTCTGCATCTGCTTCTTCTGGTACAGGAATAGTATGGATCTCTGCTTTTTACCTTCACAGATGAACATGTCACAACAGTTCATGTGCTAAAACTGTGCAGCAAAGTATACAACAAAGTCAAACGACAAAGTCAAACTGACTTTATCCCACTGATGCCATTCCTGTAACGTAGTAATAAATCCACCAGGGTAACAGGGGATGCCATATACCCTCTTTTACATATGTGGAATTAAAGCATTTTTTGGTTTTTTACTTACTTTTACAATACTGAATTTTTGAATATGCTTCTATGAATACAAAATCTTCACAAGAGGTTTACTCAGTATCTGTAAATTTAAGTAGCTGAAACAGCAACAGAGAAATCTACAGATTCTAGATAGGCACTGATGGCACACATTTCATTTGAAAGGCAGTACTAATAATTTAGTATGACATTTCTGTAAAATGGTGTTAAATAAATTATGTATTTGGCATATGCAAGATAGGAAAATATTTTTCATAAGACTAGCTCAACTCTGGAAATGTTTTGACAGTCAGAGCAAACTTGCAAAACAAGTCACAGTTGAAGCTCTCGTCTTGGTTTAAAACGTCTCCTGACTCCAGCTTACTTAGTGAGCAAAATACTCTCTGTTCTTACTCACACACCTGTGTCTGAAGTGAAGTATGAGAAAAAAAATGTTCTCAAAAATGACTTGTTTAACTTTTTGGTGCAGGTTTTCACTTACTCCCCTTTGAATCTGAGAAATTTTTGCACAGCTTGGTAAGAAATATTTTCAGCAGTAAGTAAAATTTGTGACCCTTGTAGTACTTAACATTTATCTTCTTCACAACAAATTTGTTCTTCTCCAGAGCACACTCTCAGCTGTTCCTCATCACCTAAGTATTTTGCCTACAGCCAAATCAGAACACTGCATCCCAAGTGTATGGTGGTGGTGGTCTGTTCAGGAAAAAAGTAATGCTAGGGGTGTGGGGAAAATGTTGCATTACATTTGAAAACTTATTTGCACAAGGTTGCCTTTATGTTAAAAAATTCTACAAACTCAGTCACACACAACTCAGTCTACGTTTCTTATTTTCTTAAAGTTCTGGCCATCAGATTTAACCACCCTGGCTCTAGTACCTGTGGGAAATTTTCCTTACATTTTTATTAAACTGCTCATTTCCCACAGTTATCACTCAAAGTACAAAGTTATAAGGAAAACTGCAACAGAACTTTATTCATCCATCCTCTGCAGTATACAAAAACCCCTAATGACAAGCATTCCTGGAGCAATTAAATCCTTAAATCATATCCTTTTTCTTTCCAAATCATATCTAGGTGAATTTGGTGAATACTTGACTTACAATTTAACTTAGAATTCTAATTTCAGCATCATTCCTCCTGCACAGATTTCCTCTATGGATTCCCCACAGAAAAACTGTGCTTACCTGCAAGAGCCATGCTACTGCCTGCAACATTTTGAGTACAAGCCAACTGAGTATTTACAGTTCTGAAATACAACTTCATAATAATAAAAAGATAATCTAGGGTGTCTGGAAGTCAAGACACTTTACTTCCAGTTCCTTAAGAGAAAGAATAAAATTGTGTCCTATCAATTCTTTTCAATTTGTCATTAGAATTTGTTAGAGAAACTGAATAAAAGAATCCTCACAAAACTTGAAATATCACATATATATAAAAAAGCATGTTTTCATTGTTCCATGCTCATGACTCAGATATACTCACTCATTAACTCTATAAACATGTGTTTATTTACATGTTTGTGCAAGCACAGAAAAGTTTAAAGTAATATGAACGAAGCAAAAATAGAAATTTGCAAGCATCATTGGATGACATCAAATCTACAACAGATTTATTTTACACAATGTTATTGCTTAATCTCCATATATTTTGAAGCTTTTAAAAAGTTGAGAATAACTGTTGAAAAATGTCCTTTTTAGGAAAGACCATAATCACCAGAAGTCTCTCAGAAGCTTTTTTTCTCATACAACTCTTACTGAAAATTAATTTGAAATTTTGAGAAAACATTTGAAAACCAAACATACACATCATGCAATTATGTACCTTACTAAGTTTTTCCATGTCTTGATAGCATACTGCTGCCTTTTTCTGTTCCTTAGTCACTTCTGAAGCAAGCCTCATGATAGTTTCTCTACTAGCTTTGGACTCCATCTCATGGATGTTGATAGCTTCTTGAAGAGAAGCAACCTGGTCTTTTAGGGTCAGATTTTCTTTACATATTTCAGAGACCTAGAGAAATAATTCAAATATTAGTAAGTTTTTTAAAGCACCTAAAGCTACATATATTCATCCCAGTACACATGCTCCTCATCATCTCAACAAAGGCATGGTGTTATTGGTGACCCCTAGGTCAGATTTATAATTGTGCTCTATTATTCCTTTCTAAAAAGAGTAGAAAGACATTGAAAAAGAGAAATATATTCCCACCAGAAACCCACAACTTAGTGTAATGTAGTTCAGATTTACTCCCACACAACCTGCATGATCTATTAAACAGGTGGAAAGTTACTGTCATTACATATCTGCACTTGACATGAAGCAGATGAGAAAATGAAAACAGATCATGTAGCTAACTTCATGTGAAAAGCAGACAGTTTCAGTTTGGATTGTTAAGATTTATATGCCTCTCATTTGGAATGAGGAACTGAAAGCTGCATTTATGCTTGGAACTTTTTTGGCATGGGGAGATTTGAGTTAGTAACAGCTATCTCATAAGCATATTCAAGGACAGGGCCAAATACCTGGTGGCTTGCTGTTCTAAGCAGCTGACCCCTTGGAAAAAGGAGTCATTTCCAGGAGGATTCTAGGGCTGTTTTGATACATTACACTATTTCTAAGTGGAATAAATGAATGTGGGCACTTCAGAGAGTGCATAAGGTAAAAAATGTACCCTAACTCCTACTGGCAAGATGTTTGTTAAGACTAAGACAGATCAATTCAGCCTTAAAGAAAACCATGATGTGGAAAAAATAGAAGTGCCATGACCCCAAACAAACGAGTGACTAAGGTTTCCTAATGCACAGAGTTTTCAGCACAAACTAGATTTCCCAACTAGATTTATTACTATATTGTTAAAACAAGACACCAACATATACTTTTCTCTTTTAAACTGCAGTTATTTCCTTAACTTAAAGCATGTAAGAGTTACAGCTTACAAACATTTTTGCCTCTAATGACAACTAGACAAGTTTTATTAGAGCACCTAATACAATTTCAATGTGCCTGTAATATTGTAAGGGCAAGTACTCAAATAACTATGATATGTACTTAGAAAATCTTAGTATATTAAGGAATTCCTTATAGACAGAACTCTTATAATAACATGAATATAATGAAACAGAATTTCCCAAAACACCTAGTATGCTCTCAAATGCAGAAAAATAGGGACAGCAAAGAATAGCAGAACATGGGGGGGGGGAAGCATAAAATTGGGATAAAATGCCCTTCAGCAGCATTGATAAATGTTAAAAGAGCATAAAAATAATTTTCCTTTCTGGAAGCTTAGTTTTTGGAACTTCAGAAGTATTCCGAAGATAGATAAATAATAAAGTTTTATGATTAAGTCTCAAAACCACCACACAGTAATTTATAGCTTTTTGTTACAGGGCATAGTTAAGATTGTCTTAGGGTATGCCATTTCAGATGTTTCTATTTATGGTATGTTGGCTTGAGACAAGTGTTAAGATCTAGTGGCGGAGTTTGCACATCACCTAGAGACTCCCAGTGTTAATGTTTTCAGGAAAGCTTTCAAACAAGTATCTAACCAGGGCTGTACTTGGGAACCACAGGCTGATAAGATATTTATACAAATAAGAGAAGACTGAGTTCATTGAGGTCTATTAGTGTTCAGCACCTTTGAAAATCAGCCCGATGTGAAAAAAAATGTCTTAAATGACAGCATTATCTGCAGATCATTATTTAGTACAAAGATTCCTGTCTTCATCACTTTATTTCTTTGACAACCAAATATTTTTTTATTAAATTGCTATACTGAAACCCTTGCCTACACATAATCACCTTTGACATTAAATGTTCCTGTGGTTTCTCTTTTTCTTTAATGTCTGTGTCCAATAATCCAGAAAGCTCTGTAAGAAGCTCTTCATACTTTCTGCTGATTTTAGAAGTTTGAGTCATGCTTTCTTCACACTCTTTCAAATATTTACTGGACAGAAAAAAAAAACACAGACATCAGTATGAATGTTCTCTGAAACAAAATTCCAGGCAAAAGACATTATCCCAGGTTTATTGCTAGCTTCTGCATACCACAAAATGAATTTTAAAAGTTGAGTATAATTCTCTGTATCTGTTATTTAAAGACATGTAATTTTATTTGTTACCTTATGTGCAAACATTTCTTCATTTTGGATTTTGATTAACATTTTAAAGAATATTCTGTGATCCCAACCTAATTCTCAGCACAGGATTTCAATAAAACACAAGAACCAGGAGAAATCAATAAAAAGTGCTTTCAATATATTAGAAATGGGGGCTACAAGTGAAAGCTTAGGAAAAAGTAAGGGAGAAAAGAATGAGCAAATTACAATAAAAACATGCTAACAGCACTTCTCATCCCCTCTCTAAAGAAGCTGATAGTGCTGATCAACAAGCTCTGGGGAAGAAAAAGCCTCTCTAACTACACTAATGGAATTGTAGGACATCCAGAGTACCTGCTAAGGGAAATTTACGAGCAGAAGCAGAGATGGGGGAGACTATTTCACTGTACATACAGACTTGTGCAGTGTAACACTGCCCATGAAAGGGATGGATCAAAACAGAATATATCAAGGGACTATGACAAAAGTATGAAGAAAAGGCAGCTCTTTGTCATCAATTTCATCTTTAAAAGTTGCCTATCATGGGGATACACATCCCACATGAAATAATGTTATCATCTTTAACCGCAGGTATCAGGTTATAGAGGCTCTGTAAGAAGGAACAACCAAATAACAGAGCAGTCAGTTTAACTCATTGGCAAAATGTGGTTACATCCCTCCTGTTACCAAAGACAAGCCCAGCAAACAAGCATTGCCACTGTCTGCATGAGTAGCAAACATATAAATTAAAATCTTGTTCATGATGCTGAAACACTGAGCATCACTTCAAGCTGCGCCAGGAGAGGTTTAGACTGGATATTAGGAAAAATTTCTTCACTGAAAAGGTAATCAGGCATTGGAACAGGCTGCCCAGGGAAGTGGTGAGATCGCTGTCCCTGGAAGCATTCAAACACCGTGCAGATGAGGCCCTCAGTGACATGGTTTAGTGATGGACTTAGTAATCCTGGGGTAAAGGTTGGATTGATAATCTGAAAGGTCTTTTCCAATGTAGTTGACTCTATGATTCTCTGATTCTGAAAAACTACAGAGAAACAGGTTAACAAAAAAGGCCAAACAAAGCTCAAAGTGACTAGTAGGATAACCCAGATATCAACTCCAATACCTCTCAGATAATACCCATGAGAGAGGTAATCAGTGGTAGAGTGCAAGAGACAAAACTACTGAGCTTCTAGTTGAGAAACAAGGTACTTTCTAAAGCAAGTTCTTCACAAAGATTTGACCACTAGAATAAAAAGAGATGTGAGATATCACCAAACACATGAAGCAAATATTTCATTGAAACTCATTTGCTTATCAAGAACATAGCATTATTGTCAGTTTTCAAGGTGGGTGTGCTTGTCATTTCTGTACTAATTCTTTTCCATATCTGATTTTTAACTCTCTAGGTTGGCAATCAAACAGTCAACAGAGCATCACTCCGTAATCAAAAAGCAGCATGAGACTCCTATAGAAAATGCACATTGAGTGTATACATAGTACTTTAAATAGCTATAGAACAGTGAGCAGAAGAGATGGTCCATGAAAAAAATTAAGCTATTGCCTTAGGAGGAAGATCAGCACAATTGTTCCAATGCTGCCCAGTGGAGGAAGGTGGAATAACAACAGAGAGGAATGGAAAACATCAATTACTGCTCTTGACAGGACAAAGATAGTTCCATGTGCTACTGCATGGCACACATGGTGAGCCAAAAGAGCTCTGCCTTCTGTAGCAGGCACTGGCCCTCAGAAAACAAGAGCCTCACAGCTTCCTCACCTCTGAGCACCTTCCTCTCCTGTGTAGTCCCAGCCAAACTAAGCTGTGACATGCCACTTAACTGCTGTCCTGATGAGGGGTATGTCGGAAGTGAAAAGCTATAAGGTTCCAAGAACATCCAACATGCATGCCTGTATGTTAGAATATTGTACAAGATTGACCACCAACCCTGCAAGCTGTTATGTGGCTCTGAAAAACTGAGGCACACCACACACAGAACCATGCCTCCTTCTAAAAATAAACAATCTGAAGTACAAAGAACATACTTGACAACCCTACAAATAACCTAATTATCTTCAGTAGGGCCATAAAGATGTGAGCACCTAGAAAATAGGGAATCAGGTACAAAAAAAGTAGAAAGGCAGGACTTTCACAGTTTTGCTAGCTCTTCAGAACTAATGAGCACAGACAAAGGGAGGAAAGGGAGACAAAAAAAAAAAAAAGCTTTTCACAGTTCAGGCTCTAAATATACCTTGGCAATAGACCTGTTAAGTAAAAAAGCACTATTTTCAACAGGAGAGGTGTTGAAACCAATCACACAATCCTGGAAACCAATCACACAATTCATTAAACATTTTTTTTGCTATGTCTCTAGGTATAGGATGTAAACATGAATTTCATGCCTACTGGCTTGCTCTTCCCTTTTATTAATGGTTTTCAGTGAAAGCCTTTCTTGAATACCTAATCAGGACTTGGCATGTGCCAGGTACTACTACGTTTGCCAGACCAAGCGACTAAAGCTCATTAAGTCATATATTGACTAGCATTAAGTGGCACATATAACCATTAGCTGATGATGAGAAAAACCTTTGAGAGCATACACTGTGGATTTACAGCCAGTGCAACATGTTTGTTCCTTCCAACAGAGTGCATTCACCCTCTCTTTCCCTTTTGCCAGCACTCTTTGCCAGGTGCACAGTGAATTGGACCTGGGATTTGTAGAGCTGGAAATTAAGCTATTTATTTTACTGCAAGAAGTAGCACTTTAAAGAACCTTAACCATATGTCAGAGACTGTGATATTCTCTATGTTGCTAGGATGCATAATACACTTCTTGGCTTAACTATCTCCTCACTTATATTTGGGTCATACCTAAAATCTTTGGTGATCAACATCATTACTCTCCATGCAGGGCTTTTGTCAAATCATCTGGTAATAGACAAGTGCACTGCAATGGATTTCTCTAGATTTTAAAATAACTTCATTATCCACTTCTAATGTACAAAGCCTGAAAGAGCTGTGCAGAGTACTGAGTTGGGAAATGCAGACATCTGGTAAACACTCACCTTGCTGTTAAATAGACAGTATCGAGAGAGAAATGGATATAAGCCTTGTAATGGTGGAAAAAAATCCATTATAGAAGTATACAAGGTGTCAATATAATATGACTGACACTGATTTTGGAATTTTAGAGCTCAGAATATTTTTATACCACTCAGTTTTCTTTGTGACTAACATTGTTATCAGTCTCCATCCCACAGACCTGAAATATTAGTATTTATGCAGAACTGACATATCAGTGCTCTGACACACTATGCTAACAACAGCATAGTTAAGGATACTATATTTTAATAAAAGTTTTATGCAATCAGTATACATGTTTAAAAAAATAAAAAATGCACACAATGTCCAGAAGTAAGCAGAAGTCAGAGAAAGCTAACATTACTGAAAGCTGCACAGTAATGTTAACAAACATTAACACGCTCCCTTCAGGATGCTAACAGCTAGGAATTACACCATGTTTTCTTTATTACTCTGCTCCTAATGGACAGGTTTACATTAAGGAAGAAATATACTTGACACTGTTCTGGTTCCAGCTGTGACGCAGAAGAGGGGAAAATAGACCAGAGCAATGCAGCAGCACAGTCGCTCACCACTGCACAGCCCACGCAGCATGTTAAGTGACAAGTAAACATCTGCAAAAGATGCCATTTGATAAAGCTGGACCAGGGCACTACACAGTATTTCCAGGTACTGCTCATTGTGAGTGTGCTATGAAAGGCACAAGGTCTGCCTCAATGCAAAACGCCATTTATGGGCTAACAACTCAAACCAAAATTCAAGTTCCAATACCTTCCACGCTTTCAGGTACAATGGTTGTGCAAGACACTGTAACTGAATTCAGATCTGCAATAAAGCCTGTCCACCAATGTATTTTTCTGTCCTGGCAACAGCACGATTCTGTCATCCCAAACAAAAATTGTTTCTTATCTCACATGAATCTTACTTAAGTTTGGCATTTTGCTCATGAAGCTCCTCCTTCAGCTCCAAGTTTTCCTTTAATGCCACCTGAGCTTTCAGCTCAGACTGGTTTTTAGAACTGGCAAGCACATACACTTCTTCTTCCATCTCCTGAATTCGGGCTTGCAAAGACAGGAGGCGAGACATCTGTCTAGCATTGTTTTCCTTGTAGCTTTCAGCTTCAGACTTCAGCTCTTGAAAAGAGGCTTCTTTAGAGACCATTCTGGACCTGAGTTTAAGAAGCTACAGATAGAAAAGAAGAAATGTCATTAAAAAAAGAAAGAAAGAAGAATTTTGCCAAGATTGAAATATGTGACTGAACTACAAGTTTAATAATATGACAAGAAGCACATTGGAATGAAAGACTCAGAGTCTTCTCTCCCTACAGGATTGAGTGGAGGTACACAACTTTATTTTCATATACCTAGGAAAAAAGCAATAGGAGAGGTTTGTATAAGCAAGTGCTGCTGTTGTGTAATACAAATTTTCAAGGTAATCTCTTGCAGATAAATTTATTTACAAATTCAAAATTTAAAACAGTCCACCTTAACTCACCTACCTTATGCATCTACATTAAATATTGACACCACTATTCCCCCTTTTCTGCCTGCCTCCTCCCAGTTCCGGGGCACAATTCCAGAGATAATCTATACCTGGAGGGAGCTGTAACAGCACAGTATCCTGTTGTATGAGGGTGGAGCCTGTTGATGCTTGCAGCATATTCAAACAAATTTTTGGAGATCTGTGCTGTAGACACGTGGTAGGCTTATCTTTGGCACACGGTTATTTTTTGATCTAATATCCAATCAAATGCAGCTGGATTTACACAGAAACAGCAAGAGAGCCTTTTAAGGAAGGGTAGGAGGAGGGACATCACCACCAAATGTCAAGGACCTCTTGCAGAGATGATGCTAGAACTTCCCAACAGTTTGTGGAGTTTTTTACTTTCCTCTCCCTCTTTTAGCTAAAAATACCAATTTTCTGCCTTATTTCTGCTATAAGCTTTTCAGAAAGACTGAGCTTGAGGCAGACACACCAGGGACACAAAATTTCAGTGTGTTTTATTTTGCTTAAATGAACAAGTCATTTAAAACGGATTTTTTTTTTTCCACGGTAAGGGTTAATGCATGTTTCAGCTTTCCTGAATGCTTTGGATTGCAGAAGAAAGCAGCAAGATGCAATACGAAACATTAACCTCCTACTAGGTAAAATTTATAGACAAATAATTAAGCCACATTAACTGTTCCTTATGACGTGTGCTAGGGCTTTTAACTCATGGCAAATATTTTAAGGCAATAAATATTTAAGATATTAAGCTGCAATTCAGGATGTCAGGAAATTCATGGCTCTGCCAGAGGCTTCCAATGTGACCAAACCAAAGATACTTAGAGAAATTCCAGGAAGCCAGTGAGCCAAGTGCCTTGGAAAAGAGAATTCCTGCTCCTCCTGCTCCCAGCCCACACGCTTGTCCTCTCCCTTGCACCAGCTCCGGTGTTTGTCTGACTCCTTCACAAACAACTTAAAACACAGCTGGCAGAAAAGAATTCATTTTCTACAGAGGAAGAAGAGGAAGGGGAGCTGGCCACGCCACAGGGAAAAGGCTAGCATCAAGGAGTCAGGCAAGAGGACCACTCTTGCAGCAGCAACATAATCTCCAAAAAGCTTCACCTGCAAGCATTGGTTCAAGAGACACTTTGGAGCTGACATAAAGGAGCACTGACTTCAAGAAAATTAGCTCTGCCTTTTCCCAGCCTGATGGGTTTTGTTTCTATATTTCACCCTCTTTGTGCTAGCAGAGGTATTGATATGGCCATAAGGTGAAACAAGACTGGGAAACTGGTCTGGGTAAAAAACAACCCATAAGGAAGACTTTATTTTTCAGTTGCATCAGTTCCTCAACAAAAAAGGGCACTGTAAAACTACACATATATCTGTGCCAGCACTAGGGATGGGGCAGTGTAGGGAAGGAAATTAGCAGCTAAAGGAACAAAAGGATTGCTTTGCTTGGCAGCTGGACCAAGCTATGGTAGCTTAAAGTGTCCATAACCTTAAAATTTCTCTGTGGTTCAACTCCCCATCTGCAAAATGTGATATTTTTTCCTCTGTCCATTGTCCTTGTGGTCAGTTCCAACTGCAGAAAAAGCAAGAATAATCCCATATCATAAGTTTTACAGAGCACTCAGCAGAACAAGGCTCTGACCTCAGCTGGGTCACGAAGGTCTTTATTAACAAGAGCATGAAGCTGCTTTCTTAACTATCCTTTTGCTTTTGCAAGCACAGTGCTGGAAGAATCTATAAATCAATCAGTCATGCTGGCAAAAAAGCCATTCAGCATTTCCAGTAATGCATTCTTTCTATGAGAACACAGGATTCTCTCTGGCTTTATAAAACTGAAATTTAAAGTACTGGTCCTGTGTAACTATTAAATGGAGGGGAACTCTGCAGTAATTCCAGGATCAACTGGTCAAATTCAAGCTCAGACAATGGACACTTATCCCTATAGTCCTGGCTGAATACTGTAGTAACAATTCATTCTCCTACAATATTACATGTTCTTGCTGTTTCCCAAAATTAAAGAAATTTTGTTTCATTGATAGGGCCTTTTTTAATTTTTAGTATGAACTCATAATCATTTCATTAACACAGAAGCCAGGAGAGGGAAATTCACACTGAAATTCTAAAAAGAATGTTATGAGAAACAAGACATTCTGTATTTAAACAAAGGTTTCTATTCTTTGCAGAAAGTGATCATAAAGAATCCTTAGGTTTGGAGAACGATTTGGAAGTATTTTTAAATGTACCTCTGACTGGGCACAACCATACTTCACTGAAAGTGCTGCAAGTTCACTTTGAGCAGTTTCAGCTGCAGCCCAATAGTGATTCATCTGCTCTCCAGTGACAAGAATATCCAACAGAACGTGATCATGAGATTCCTGGGAAGGCAGCATGAAAACAAAACCATTAGACATTGCATTTCTTTTTTTTTTGAACATTTTTCCTTCAGTGCTTTTTCACTTGATTAAGATGCTCAAGGGCACTTGTTCCAAACCTGTTATTCCCAGAGTAACTTTCTCTCAGATTCTTACTGAAAAATAGGATAAACAGTCACTTTTATACCAGTCACCACTTTCATCTGCAAGTTCAGCCACCAACACCAGTGCTAAGGTATATCAGCATGCAAGATACACCCTTCTCAACAATCTCTTGGCCTCCCACCATTTTCGGGTTATTTCCAGTAATTTCTATGTGGTTTAGCAAAATTCAAAAGGCCCCTCTTCTACAAACTTATCCTGTCACTTCTTCAACTGATGTAAACTTTAAGCAAAAGAGAGTGCTCAGGTGTTCCTTATGCAAACAACAGCTTTGGCTTTTAGACTTCATATAATGGTTTGTGTTGAAGGGACCTTAAAGATCACCTAGTTCCAACCCCCCTGCTATAGGCAGAGACAACTTCCAGTACAGCAGGTTGCTCAAAACCACATCGAACCTGGCCTTGAACCTGGCCTTTAGTTACATTTACATGCCTCCTCATTTTCATTTTGGACGAAATGGCTCTCAGTCTTCCCTATGCCACTCATGGTTTTGCAGATTTCTGTCACATCTCACCTCCACAGTCTCCCTACCAGATTAAAGAGTCCATGCTTACTCTGACACTCCTACCCACTCCTAAGGTAGTTTTCTGGCTTGCCCATTTGGACTGTTACTTATAACCTGCCAAGGCTAAAGGTCCTTTTAAACTCCTTCACTTGGACATAACTTCAGCTTTCTGAACGGTACTCCCTTATTCCCAGCAATCACCATACTGACTCTTTTCACCCTTTTTCAAGCCCTTCTGATCGATGGCAAGCACTGGCTCTATGCTTCTAGCACAGTCTCCTTCACACTACTTGTGCAATTCTTTTAGCTGTGCCTTTTAGACTCTTCATAGTAAGCTTTCTCTTCTATTGTGTGGTTTTGCTTATCTATAGTAGAGCAGAAATGCATTGAATTTCTTGGTCTTTGTTACTTAAATCTTTCAGTATGGAAATTCAGACCTCAGGTCTTCATAGAAGTTTTCTTAAAACCTTTTTCTTTTTTTTTCCCAATCAATAGTGGCTACAGAATGATGAAATTTAACATCTTCAGAACAGAATCGTGTTTAGGTGATGCTGGGCACACATACTGCAGTGGACACAACATGAGATTTGTATTCCATCAGCTCCCACACAGGACTGAAACAAAACCTCAACCATTTAGGTGTGTATTACAAAATGCAAATCTCCCCTAGCTAATGACTGCTGTTGAAACAGACAGCGACAAGATGTCTTCACTTCATACTATTCTACATCAGCATTGGCTTCCAGGCTAAGATGAATGACAAGTTCAGCTCCTATCCATTCTAAATAGGAAAAAAAAAAAAAGAGAGAAAAAAAAAAACACACAAGGACCTCTCTAAATAAGCGAACATCCAGTAAAATAAGCCTCTACCAAGAAACACACACAGAAATCCCTGGGGAATAAGGCAAAACTACTGGTTCAGACTGCAGATTGTAGCAGAAAACAGATTACCTTGGATTAGTTTCTATAATACTGTCAACACTTTTCTTTAATCTTTCTTCAAGTACACACTGGATTAGACCCATCAAGTGTAATCGCATTCATCTCCTTCAAAGACACTCAGCTGTGCTCCTTCACGAAGGAGTTGCCACTCATCAAGCCAAACTGATACATGTAGTACAGCTCACAACCGCATACAACATAGTGCACAATCTCACAGATAAAAGGGCTGCTAATTTTTTCAACACTTTATCACCATTCTGAGTGAGAGAGGGAAGACATGTGCCATCTCTTTGCTACTTTGTCTTACTTTTTGCTTTATCCCACTTGTTTCACATTGTACAACCACATGAAATTCTTTGACAGGTTTGTTGTTTTTTTTCATTCTGGAATACACCAGGGCTCCAAAGCCATGGATAGAGCTTGCAAAGTTACCACTGTGTATGTTATTTACGTATGTTGTTATATTTATATTACTGTATTGACGTATGTTTTCTTCCCTAAACACAACCACTTATGATTTTACAGAAAGAAAGAATACATCTCAAAAATACTTCAGATTATAGCTGAAGAAAAAAGCTGGAACTTCCAAAACCTACATTGTCATACAAATTTAGATTTTAAAATGATGGGCACTTCAAAGATGCAGAAACATACCTAGACGCATTTAAAAGAGGTTTAAATGAAGCCAGGTTTAAAAGTCAATGGGAATTACCATTTCACTCATTTACTGTCTTAGTGAGATTTACAGAAGCAGATACAAGGGAAGTTGGTATGATTATCATACTTTTGTCAGGGAATGTGCGCGATTTAATATTTAAGAAAGTAGTTTTCTATGTTTTGCCAGCAGCCATTTACAAGTCTGATCATTAATCATACTTATAGCAATGCAGTTAATTTGGCATGACTCTGCTATAGGGGTGAAATTTGTAATGCAGATGTGGCACTTTTGTATCTCCAGAAAAATTCAGATTTGTAATGTTTCATGAGTACTGTGTAGTTCGTAAGAGGCAGTACACAGGGAAAGCCTTATTATATTATCACTCAATCAGCTCTAAATAATTAAGGTTTTGAGTGTTGACGTTGTTAACTTCATGATCGCTTTCCACTTACTTGCAAGAAAATGAAGTGTCTATTTCACTTCAAATGCATTTAGCTAAAATCTAAAGAAACTAAATCTATATTTTAGCTATAAAGAAGCTGAATATATATTTTCAATACTTAACAGTAATATCTATTTGTACCTGTGGCTTTATTAGCAATAAGATTCCTTTAGAAGATTAACAACATAAGGTTTATGTTGTTATTGTGGGGGATTTTGTTCTGAGCTTTTACCAAGTAACTACTTTCATCTCCCTGTAATCTGGCCTATAGTTGGCAGTCTTCACCTGATTTGGAAACAACAGAACTCTGTTGCAGAATGACTCTAAGAGCAGGACCATAGAGGACTGTGCAAGCAAGGCAGGGGGTGGCCCCCACAGGTAACCGGAAACCGGACATGGGAGGAGAATGTGGAGGAAGCTGTGTGGGGGCTAACCAATACTGTTGTGCCAAGGAGGAGTGGCTGAATACCACTCCTATATATATGTGAACTGCGTCACAAATAGGGTAGAAGTTTGCTTATCACCCATGTTGGGTTGGCCTGTCTGCTTCTCCTCGGCGCTTACAGAACTCCAACAACATTCAGTAGTTTTATACCTCATCATGTACTTTGAAATTGGCCAACTGTTAAGTCACTCACTCCCATTCTGCTCTTGAAAGCTTTACTTTTATTTCCTGCCTACATTTCTTATTTCAACCCTGACAAATGATGCTACTACTGCCTCCCTTTCCCAAAATATATGTTAAAAAAAACTCTAATGAAACAGAAAGCTGTCAGTAAGCATTTAAACACTGAGCACTACCCTGAGTAACTTCTCAATGTATTGCCTCTTGTCCATAGCAGAGGGACACTACTTCTTTCCATTTCCAAAGTGTCTAAGCACATTAGGGTTGGCCTACCAAAAATAATGACTCACAAACCTTTGTAGATTACATTCTCCCTTTGTTTCTACAAAACAAATGAGGGAAGAGGGAAAGAGAGGTATAAAATTAAACAGTATGAGGCAGTATGATGACACATGACAGTAACTTTTCACAGAACTGCTTTACTAAACTGTGTTATAGGTTACCATCAACAAAGAAAGGCATAAAAGCAGAATACTGTGCCTTTCAGGACAACAGGGATGAAGAGGAATTTGTGTATGGGCTGAACTCCTGAGAAAGGGAGCTTAAACATAATGTTTTGTTTGTAACTATTCTAACTAGGGCTAGAAATTTGATGTTAAAAGTGTGTTGCCATCCACAACCTAACTAGCTTAATCTGATTAAACAATCAAGACGTGTTCTTACAAGCCATTTGAAAAACTACCTTGTGCAAATAGATTTTAAAAGGAAATTCTATTCAGCATGCAGAGGATATTAAATTTTTATTGTATTTTGCAAAATAATCTATTCTAGTATAACAAAATATAAATTTTATAATGTATTGCTTTTCATAAAATCAACAGGTTAAAAAGCAAATATTATAAAAATAACTATAAGTTTCATGAAAATCAGGCACTGAACAGTTTTTAGAGATATTTTCTGAGTCAAAGAGAGGGAAGGCAGGTAGCACTTGGCTATTGCAGATTTTTCTTGGTAGCAGCAGCTAGCCAGCCAGTGTGCACATCACTTTCAGAATAGCCACAGCAGCTACACACCGATGAGTGTGAGAAGGGTGAGCCACTGTTACACAGTAAGTCAGGTTTTATTAAATGTGTGAAAGCAGACTAAAGTGAATCAGAGTCACTTTGGAGGGAAAAAACCTGTTCACATATTAGCCAGCCTGCATGTATATTTTTGGTAAAGTTGTCTTCTTTCTACATAACAGTTTGCCCAATTTGTCTGTCAGAGATCTCAGAATGTATTGGCAATGCTTTATTAACATAAATCAAAATTTGCAAGTAACATTTCAAAACCATTTCAGTCCTGTCAGTTCCCCTTCCACATTTTAAAATGCCAGAAATACGCAGTTGCTTTTGATAACTTCTCATTCACTGAATTCCTCTTTCCCAATACCCAATTACTTTTGATCACTTCTCGCTCAGTGAATTCCTCTTTCACCTCTCTGATTTCTGCTGGTTACTATGCCCAACTCATTGCTTGCAGCTTGTGCGTGTAACTCTGAAGTTATTTTTCTGTTGTTGTTATATGACTGTGGAGGGTTTTATGCATTAGTATTTCTGGAACAGTGCACCAAGTGTTCCAAACAGCTCAAATAAATCACCAAAGGGATTTTCTAAATTCCTTTCAGAAGGGTACTGCTTAGCTCTACCCTCCCTCCTTTTGCAGTAATCATTGAAAGGTATTACTGAAAGATAAAAATCACTCTCTGGTGCTGTTCGTCTACTGAAGCAGCCAATTTCAAGCTTGATTAGTAGGCCCGAACGAAAATTTCATGACAATCATAATGTTAGTCTTACCCTCTACTACTACAAGCTGCAGTTGAAGCATTTTCATCTTTCATTTTCCTCTCTGTTATAATGAGGTGACTTTGCATCTAAATACAATGAATGCATTTAATATAATGAAAGACAGCAGTCATCTCAAGGCAATTATGGAGACACAACACCTACTGTAAATATTACTTAGCATGTCTTTTATTTTACTTTGGCTGTATGGCAAAATTATGGAACTTGGATCTCCCCTGACGCTTTGTCTCACAGCTTTTCCAAAATGAATAACAAGAAAGTGCTGCTGTGTTTAATCTCAAAATAATAACAAGGCTAAGGCAAAATTTAGGGGGAAAATGTAACAAAATTAAGTACTTATGCAGGGATTTTTGCAACCTACTCATTGTTCTGCTGGTTTTATCAGTGCTGAATAGAGTTAAATAACTTTTGTAAGAG